CAGTGCAAAGGCAATGTACATGCACACATCCAAGCACTGTAGGATACAAGTCCCCAGGACTGAAAAGATGCGCCAAGGAATAGAAGGATACAATGCTTTTCTTTTAGAAATCCATATGGAAATACTTATAGATGAAATTACAGTTCGTCCTCCATATCTGTGGGTTCAGTGTTTGTAAATTCAACCAACCAAAGACAACAAAATATTCAATATCAAAAATATTCAACAACAATGAAAATGAAAGGCTGTGTCTGTACCAAACACGGATAAGCTTTTTGTCATTATTCCCTAAACAATATAGTATAACAATTATTTACATAGCATTTGCATTGTATTAGGTATTACATAATTAATCTAGAGGTTAAACGTATACAGGAGGATATGCGTAGGTTATATGCAAATACTACTTCATTTTATATAAGGGACTTGAGCATCCACAAATGTTGGTATCTGTGGGGATCCTGGAACCAATCCCCCTGTGGACACTGAGGGATAAATGTATATGGATTCCCAGGGGAAAACACAGGGACTAGGTGGGATGAATATAGATTAAGTAAAATCAGCCAAGAGTTGACAATTGTTTAAGCTGGGTGATAGGTACATAGAGATTCATTTGGGTATTCACTCTGCTTTTGCATATGCTTAAAATTTCCATAATAAGAAGTTAAAGAGAAAACAATAAGGACGATTCAAACAATCCAACTTCTCTCCTGAGAAGTAAACCTTTTTCAGACCTCTGTTTATCCACTTATCATTTATTTACACACCTACACAAACGCATCCTCTATTTACTTATTTACAGAGTGCTATCATGCTATATATACTGTTCTGCAACTTGATTTCTTATTAAATGATGCATCATTAACATCTTTCTATAGCTGAATACTATGCTGAAACCTAAATAAATCATAATTTACTGATTCAATCCTTCACTGAAGAAAAATAAAATGTTAACAGTTCCCCTGTTACAAACAACTTTCTGTTGTTGGCTTTACTTATGTGTATTTTACTAATTGGGTACAAATGCCCAATGCCTATAATTGTACAATTATAAAACTATTTCAAAAACAAACTTAAATATAAAAAAACTTCAAAATCAATAAAATTCACATTAACAACATAAATTTCATGTGATACTTTGCTGAACTAAAACACCACTTATAATGTGGGTTATGCTACAGATAAAATACTTGAGAACTATGCATATATATACACTGTTCTCATCTATCTGTCCGGCGACTCCTTTCCCACTTTTCTCCATTAAGACTACTGAGGTTGCAGTGAGCCGAGATGGCACCACTGCACTCCAGCCTGGGCGACAGTGCGAGACCTCATCTCAAAAAATAAAATAAAAAAAGACTACTTAAAATCTTTGCATCAGATGGGATTCCTTTGGTAAGGACATTTACACAGTAAATTGAGTTTTCCTCTTTTCACACTGGATTGCCACAGTGAAATTTGACACCAAACCTCAAAAACAAAAATGCAAATGGGGGATTGAAGTCTCATTAAACTCATCAATTATAATGTAACCCAGAGTATACATATGTTTAATTTTTTAATGATGCCAAAAATTAAAATTAAAAAAAAATTCTCATAGTAGAAAGACTGGAAGAAGAGAAAGTGGTGGGAGAAGGAAAATCAAGATTTTTTTTTATAGGCATATCAATTTTGAGATACCCCTTAAGACATCTGAGTGGAGATGCCAATTACGCACTTAGAGATGAAGTCAGCCCTGAAGATAAAAATTTAAAAATCAATGGCATTTAAAGGCATGGGGTTAGATAAGATCAACTAGTGGGAGTAAAGATGGAAAGGAGCAGAGGATCTAGAATAGAACCCTAGCACCTTAACATTCAGAGGCCAAAGAGCAAATACTTCACTTTTCAATTCTGGTAAAGCTACAGTATATATGAAACAAACAACTTAACATATTGTTATGGGTGTATACTTAAACAATAGGCTCTTATGTGCAGTGCACAGGGGAGCTTTTGTTTTGTATACCGCTTAAAGTGTATGATAAAAGAGTTTTTTCCATGCAGACTAATGATTACTTACTTTAACTAGTTGAAAAGGTATTTTGGAATCAGGATACAGGAAGAAAGGGCAAAGAAAAGAGAATGATCAAGTTTAGTAGCTCTGAGAGAACTATTAATACAAGATAACATTTCTCAAAAATAAAAAAGTATGACAATACCAATTAAAAAATATAGAAAAAAAGAACTCATGAACTGCTGCTGGAAATATAAATTAGTAAAGCTTCTTTGGAGAGCAATTTTGTAATTCTAGCAAAATTTAAACCCAACTATTTACTTAGCAATTCTACTTCTGAGTATACAACTGTCCTAAACTTTTACACATAGCAAAACCTGAAAATAACCTTAATATCCATCAAAAGGGGAACAGAAAATAAAATGTGATACACCAATGTAATTTCATCTAGTAGTTCAAATCAATGGACTACAGCATCCTCTCCCTCTCTCTATATATATACATAGATCATTTTATTGTGGTTGCTGTTGGTTTTTTTTGCCTTGTTTTATACAGACAGGGTTTCATTATGTTTCCCAGGCTGGTTTCGAACTCCTGGCTCAAGTGATCCTCCTGCCACAGTCTCCCAAAGGGCTGGCATTACAGGTGTGAGCCATTGTACCCCACCTACATTTATCCATATGAACATATTTCAAAAACAATGATATATGGAGAAAAAAGACGCAGAATGGTATCTATAGTATGATACTATTCATATAAATTTTAAGATTCACAATAGTGGTTTTCTCTGGAGAGGATGGGAGAGAAGAGAATGAAACTGGAAAGGGGTAGTAAAGGAACTTCAACTTTTGTAATAATGCTTTATTTCTTTTATAATATAGAAGCAGGCAAATACAACAAAACGTTAGATTTTAGTAGTTCTGGACCAGGTGCAGCGGCTCACACCTATAATCCCAGCACTTTGGAAGACTGAGGTGGGTGGATCGCTTGAGCTTAGGAGTTCAAGACCAGCCTGGGCAACATGGCGAAACCCTGTCTCTACCAAAAAAATAAATAAATAAAAGATAGATTTTATTAGTTCTGCATGATAGGTACATAAAGATTTATTATATTATCCTCTGCTTTCATCTCCACAATTGGAAAAAAGAGGCTGTGCATACACTTGCTTTATTCATAGAGGAAAAAAGGCAAAATAAGCAATAAGGAAAGAGTGAAAAATTTTTAAACAAGCTTATCATGGTCAACTGAACATGTGTCTTTTGAGCATGTTGCAGGAAAAGTTGAGAATAAATCTGAAACTTTCAAGCTGGCTATAAAAGACAAGAATACTTGAGCTTTCAAACATGACAAGATTAGACTATTTCTTTACGGCACTGATACTCAGTTTGGTCAAAAGGCATATCTAGGTGATATATCCAGTATTTCAAGAGCCTAAAATCATCACTTTAGGGCTGAAATAACATGGTATTTAAAAGTGAAGATAGGCCAGAAGTGGTGACTCATGCCTGTAATCCCAGCACTTTGCAGGGCCGAGGAAGGCAGATCACCTGAGGTCAGGAGTTTGAGACCAGCCTGGGTAACATGGCGAAACCCTATCTCTACTAAAAATACAAAAATTAGGGGTGCGTAGTGGTGGGCACCTGTAATCCCAGCTACTCGGGAGGGTGAGGCGGGAGAATCGCTTGAACCTGGGAGGTGGAGGTCGCAGTTACCAAGATCGCACCACTGCACTCCAGCCTGGGTGACAGACTCCACCTCAAAAAACAAAAAGTAAATAAATAAAAGATAATCTTGATAGATTTTTTAAAAGATGATGTGGTACAAACATTTTGTCATTTTTTTTTACTCTTTCTCAGCCCATGATTATTCTCTTCAGTATCTGGAGAAAGAAACTAATGATACATTAATGGTTAGGCATATTTTAAAACCATATTTGAATGTTAAAATTGAATGTGAAGAAAATACCTTCAGAACAAAATACAACCAAATAATGCATTAAAAACTCATTTGGCACCATTCTATAAATTAAATCACTTCATCTTCTAACTTCTTTTGAGTGTGATCAATGAAGTATCTGACAGAGTTGAAAATATTCTTTAGTGAAAAATTTCTCCATAATTTCTTTCTTTTTTACAGACACAGTCTTGCTATATATATTGTCCAGGCTCAAGCACAATGGTTATTCACAGGTGCAATCATAGCTCACTGTGGCCTCAAACCCCTGGGCTCAAGCACTTAATTCTCTTTGCTCAACCTCCTTAGCAGCTGGGACTACAACTGCATGCCACCATGCGTGGCTCTCCATGATTTCTGAGTCTGTATTCAATCTAAATATCTGACAGTCATTTGCTGCCATTACTAAAGAATTATAGTTCTGAGTTAGAACTACTTCATAATTTAATGGAAATTAAGAAAAGAAACCAACTAGATGAATGACTACAAACAGTACTGTACTGGACACTGAAAGGAAACAATGTTTATTCCTATTTTAAATATCATGAGTTCCTAAAAGTCATCGAAAATGGACAGTTCACATGTATGCTGAATACCCATAACGTGGTCTACAGATTCCTAAGATGTGAGGAAGCATTAGGTAGACAGAGATGAAGGAGAAAAGGAGATGAGCCAAAGCCCCACAGCCTGTTGTAACATTTTGCCTGCGGCTGCTCTGGGACTAGGACAAAGGTAGAAAGCTCTTTTCTTCAGTCTCCCTCCAAACATCTAAGCTGGCCCCTTACTTCTACAACTGAATTCTCAGGTCACTTGATAACACTGTTCAATACATTCTAACTTCTAAACAAAGCAGATTTATATGTAGATTTCATTATTATTTAGAAAATACTAACAAAAGAAAACATTATTATATTTTGCATTTGTACAACACTCAACACTAAGAAAATACAAAGAATAAAAACCAGAGTAGAGTTTTTCCTATTCAAGGAACCCATGTTGATAATAACAGCAACACTGGCATTACAAGCTGACTGTAAGGTTAAGTGCAGCCTTACCCAGCTGGTTCTTCATCCCCATGAGCACTGAGTTCATGTGCGCTTTGGAGGCATACAGCTTGCTCACGGCCTTCCTTGACCTGATCATCTCCTTGGCCAGAACTACACAGACATCCTTCTGGCCCTTCTTGGCAGCATCTTTCACAGATCGTTTCACTTTTTCTTCTTCTCTTTGGATATCTAAATTTAGAACAGAACATCAAAAATCAAGGGTAAGTCAGGTTTATTGGCACTCAAATACATTCTTACTGTGATCTAAATGTGTCTATTAAGTAGAAAAACATGTAGAAGGATAAACATAAAATCAAAATAATGTAGTGAATATTCATCATTTCCAGAAACAACATCAAAGTAGTTTAAAAGAAAAGTACGATCTTATTACACTTGACAAAATTTCGAAACACCCTTCTTACATTTGTTGGTACTGGCCCTAAGAACTTAAAAAACAAAATTACTATAAATGCATTCCAGAGCTTGCTCCAATAATCAATAAGTAGTATTCCCACAATCATAAGAGTACAGTTTCTATACAGTCACTAATCATTTCTAGAAACCTGCAACTTAAGGAAAGCCTGAACATATTATAAGTCTCATACCAGCATCAGCTAAAGGTAAGATATGTCTTTATTATATGCTTTATGATCAGTAGTGTTTTCTCCAATTTTTAAAACTGTGGCAAATACATAAAATATACCATCTTAACCATTTTTAAGTGTACAATCAGTGGAATAAAGTAACATTCACATTGTTGTGCAACCATCACCTCCACCCAGAACTCTCTATTTTTTTTTTTTTTTTTTTTGAGACGGAGTTTCACTCTTGTTGCCCATGCTAGAGTGCAATGGTGTGGTCTCAGCTCACTGCAACTTCCACCCCCTGGGTTTCAAGTGATTCTGCCTCAGCCTCCCAAGGAGCTGGGATTATAGGCACCCACCACAATGCCCGGCTAATTTTTGTATTTTTAGCAGAGATGGGGTTTCACCATGTTGGCCAGGCTGGTATCAAACTGCTGACCTCAGGTGATCCACCTGCCTCGGCCTCCCAAAGTGCTGAAATTACAGGCATGAGCCACCGTGCCTGGCCCAGAACTTTTTTCAACTTTCCCCAAACTAAAATTCTGCACCCACTGAACAGTAACTCTCCATTTCCCCTTTCCCCTAACTCCTGGCATCCACTATTCTATTTTCTGTCTTTACGAATTTTACTACCCTTGTTACTTCCTTTAAGTGGAATATTTTTCTTTTTCTGACTGGCTTATTTCACTAAGCATAATATTTTCAAGGTTCATCCATGTTGTAGCATATGTCAGAACTTTCTTTTTAAGGCTCAATAATATTCTATTGTATGTATATACGACACTTTACTTAACCATTCATCTGTCAATGGACACTTGGGTTACTTCCAATTTTTAGCTATTGTGAAGAACATGAATGTACAAACATGTCTTCAAGACCCTGCTTTCTTTTGTGCATATGCCTAAAAGTACAACTGTTAGGTTACATGGTAATTCTATTTTTAATTTTTTGAGGAACAGCTGTACCGGTTTTCACAATGGCGACATCATTTTACATTCTCACTAACGGTATACAAAGGTTCCAATTTCACTACATACTCACCAACACTTGTTATTTTCTGGGGGTTTTGTTGTTGTTGTTTTGATAGTAGTCATTCTAATGGGTATGAGGTCATTTTGATTTGCATTTCCCCAATGATTAGTGATGTTGAGCATCTTTTCATATGCTTACTGACAATCTGTACAGCTTATCTGGAGAAATTCCAAAAGTCTATTGAAGTCCTTTGCCTCTTTTTGAATCAAGTCGTTTTATTGTTGTGGCATTTTAGGTGTTGTGTATATATTCTGAATACAATCTCTCGTGAGACAAATGATTTGCAAATGCTTTCTCCCATTCTATGAGTTGCCTATGAGTAACTCTGTTGGTAACATTTTCTTATTTTTTTAATACACAATTTTTCTTTTTCTTTTTTTGTAGAGATGGGGTTTTGCCACGTTGCCCAGGCTGGTCTCAAACGCCTGGGCTCAAGCAATTGACCCACCACAGCCTCTCAAAGTGCTGGAATTATAGGCGTGAACCACTGTGCCCTGCCAGGTAATCTTTTTAAGATGCACGAAAATTTTTTATTTTCATGAAGTCCAGTTTGTCTACTCTATTTTTTGGAGATGGATCTATGTGGCTCAGGGTGTAATGCAGTGGCTATTCACAGGCATTAGTATAACACATTACAGCCTCATACTCCTGGCCTCAACTGATCTTCCAGCCTCAGCCTCCCGAGTAGCTGGGACTACAGTCACACATCACCATGCCCAGCAGTTTGTTCTTCATGTTGTGAAGTTTTGCCCTATGTTTTTTTCTAAGAGTTTCATAGTTTTAGCTCTTACATTTAGGTCTTTGATCCATTTTGGGTTAATTTTTGTATACATTGTTAGGTAAAGGTCCAACTAAATTCTTTTGCAAATGGATATTCAGTTTTCCCAGCACCATTTGTTGAAAACTGTCCTTTCCTCCACTGAATGGTCTTGCTACCCTTGTCAAAAATCAGTTGACAACAGGCAGAGTTTTTCTGGATACCTATTTTATTCCATTGGTTTATATGTCTGTCTTTATGTTAGTTTAAGTACATTGATTTTCTCTCTGTAGCTTTGTAGCAACTTTTGAAACCAGAAAGAGAGTGGTCAAACTTTCTTTTTTTAAGACTATTTTGATTATTTAGGGTCTCTTAAGATTCTATAAGAATTTTAGGACAGATATCTCTATTTCTACAAAAAATGTCATTGGGATTTTGATAAGGATAGCACTTTGAATGTATAAGATTGCTTTGGGTAGTACTGACATCTTAACAATATTTAATCTCCCAATCCATGAAAATGAGATATCTTTCCATTTATTTATGTCTAATTTCTTTCAGTAATATTTCATCATTTTCATTATACAAGTCTTTTGCCTCCTTGGTTAAGTAAATTCCTAAGTATTTGATTATTTTTGATGCTATTGAAAATGGGTTTTCTTAATTTCCTTTTCAGATTGTCCATTGTTAATATAGAGAAATACAATTGATGTTTTTGGTGCTGATTTTATATCTTGCTACTTTATTGAATTTATTAGTTCTAATAGGTCTTTTCTGAAAAATCTTTAGGGTATTACACTTATAGTATCAGCTGCAAATAGATTTTTACTTCTTCCTTTCCAATTTAGATACTTTTAACTATTTTTTTCTTGTCTAATTCCTCTGGCTAGAAGTTCAATATTACGTTAAAGAGAAGTGGCAAAAGTGGGTCTCCTTGCCTTGTTCCTGATTTTAGAGGAAAAGCTTTTAGTCTTTCACCATTTACTATGATAGTCCCTGTGGCTTTTTTCATACATGGTTTTTACTATGTTCAGGTCCTTCTATTCCTAGTTGTTTTTAGCATGAAAGGGTGCTGAATTTGGCCAAATGCCTTTTCTGTGTCAACTGAGATGATAATGTGAGTTTCTTTTCCCCTTCTTTCTGTTAATGTGATATATTACACTGATCAAATTTTATATGTTGAATCATTCTTGCATTCCAGGATAAATCGCACTTGGCCGTGATGTGTTTAATGTGTTGCTTGATTTGGTTTGCTAGTATTCTGTTGAAGATTTTTGCATCAATGTTCATAAGAGATACTGGTCTACAGTTTTCTTGCAGCATCTTTGTCTGATATTATATCAAGACAATACTGGCATCACAGAATGAATTAGGAAGTGTTTTCTTTTCTTCAATTTCTTGAAGTTTGAGAAGCACTGGTGTTAGTTCTTAACTGTTTGATAGAATTTACCAGTGAAGTCATCAGGTCCACAGCTTTTCTCTGTCAAGATATTTTTGATCACTGATTCACTCTCCCTGCTAGGTATAAGTCTGTTCACATTTTCTATTTCTTCATGTTCCAATCTTGGTAAGTTTTATGTTTCTAGTAATTTGTCCATCACACCTAGGTTACACAATTTATTAACATACAATTGTCCATAGTATTCTTATAATCTTTATTTCTGTGGAATCAGTAGTAATGTCTCCACTTTTAACTCTGATTTTAGTACTTTCAACCTTCTCTTCTTCCTTAGTCAATCTAGTTAAGGCATATACATTTCGTTGTCTTTTTCAAGAACCAACTATGGACTTTGTTAATGCTCTATTCTTTTTCTGTTCTGTTTGTCTCTGCTTTTATCTTTATTATTTCCTTCATTCTGCTAGATTTGGGTTGAGTTTGTTCTTGTTCTATTTCCTTTAAGTTGAAAGCTAGGTTGTTCACCTGAGGTTTTTTGGGTTTTTTTTTTTTTTTTGAGACACGGTTTCACTCCCGTCACCCAGGCTAGAGTGCAAGGTGGGTCACCATTGCAACTCACTGTAACTTCTGCCTCTGGGTTCAAGCAGTCTTCCCACCTCAGCCTCCCAAGTAGCTGTGACTACCCACAGACTACAGCACCTAGCTAATTTTTGCATTTTTGATAGAGACAGGTTTCACCATGTTGCCCAGGCTAGCCTCAAACTCCTGGGCTCAAGTGATCTGCCCGCTTTGGCCTCCCAAAGTGTTGGGATTAAGCCACCACGCCTGGCATTCATTCTTAATGTAAGCATTTATAGCTATTAATTTTCCTCTGAGTGTTGCTTTTGCGGCACCTTCTAACTTTTGGTATGTTCTGATTTGGTTTTTACTTGTCTGTAAGTACTTTCTAATTTCCTTTGTGATTTCTTTTTTCACCCATTGGTTAAGAATGTGTTGCTTAATTTCCATACATTTGTGAATTTTCCAGTATTCTTTCTGTTACTGATTTCTAATTTCATCCTGTTGTGGTCAGAGAAGATACCTTATATATCTTTTAAATTTGACTGAGACTTGATTTAAGTCTAACATATGGTCTGTCCTAAAGAATGTCTCATGTATATGTGAGAAGAATGTGTATTTTGTTGTTGGGTAGTATTCTGTATACATCTTTAGATCTAATTGTTTTATTTTTATTTTATTTTTTTTTTGAGATGGAGTCTCGCTCTGTCTCCCAGGCTGGAGTGTAGTGGCACAATCTCGGCTCAACGTAACCTCCACCTTCCAGGTTCAAGTGATTCACCTATCTCAGCCTCCCGTACCTGGGATTACAGGCACAAACCATGACACCCAGCTAATTTTTGTATTTTTAGTAGAGACGGGG